TTACTCGTTTTGAGCCCATACCTGTATGTGTGGTCACATAAAGACACAGTCAGGGTGGAAAAGCTAAGGCACACTCATGCGTGAGCTTTCTGATGTATTATTACCCTTTCTGATCATCTCACTAACTGTCCTTATGATTCTGAGAACTTTAGAGACCTGAGAGCCCTTTTAACTCAACTTCTGCCTCCATCACACCATCCCATGCCCTCCTGCTGTGGATGTATACACAAGCTTGCATTTGTCCTCCCAATGTCCCAGTTTTTATGCCTGCCCAGACTAATGAGGTGAAAAATTAGCTTGAGGCACACCAGGGAAGCTTTTAGGGTCAGCAGCATGCAAAACCATTTTTGGTGGGAGACAGCTGCAGATAAGATATACAGGATGAAGAAAGCTATTATCCAGGGGAAAATAAGCAGTGGGCTGGCTTTAAATGTGAGGCTTAGTTCACTTAAAGCAGCTGTAAATATTTCATAGGTTGCAAAGACAGAGCTTCTAAATGAAAATTCTTCAATAAAATAGTTTAAATGGCCAAAGCCGCATGTCAAGTCTGGATTCTGAAAACAAACCTCATTTTGGAGGACAACACATGTCATTTGAACATTATACACCCCTGAAAGGGAGTATTTTCCCACTCAAAGGGAAGGGGTCACGGTGGGTTCTTTCACCTGTTGTGCTAGCTTTTTGAAAGTGACTCATTTAGGAGAGATAAAAATGGAAGAGGCGAAAATGGAAGCTTGACTCCAAATGAATCATTATTAAATCATATGTTTGGTGTTGGACATCCATTAAAAACACATGGGGTGGAACCCAAAAGCAATCAGTCAAAGGTGTGGAATAAAAAACTGTTTATTAATTAACATGAGAAGCGTGCAGTGTCCACAGGGAATCCAGTCTGGTGAATGTCTAAACAGAGAATGTTTTCTCAGATACTGAGAATCAGACAAACTGGAAATAAAAACTGGAGCTCCTTCAGATCCTAAATAAGCCAGCGCACAATAAAGGCCGACGGGCTTCAGGTGTGCAGGCAGGAGCAATCTAAGCTTCAGCCCCGGACTACCTGGAACCTAGACTTAGTATCAAAACAAACCCCAAGCCAGGGGCATCATAGCTTTCTGATTACAGACAACCTTTGGTGTGGTCTGGGGTAAGGTATTGTGCGAACTAACTGCTCTCATAAATGACATATTTCCATCACATTCGGTAAATTTCTTAACTTGCTCTTCTTCCATGACATCATCTCATTGCAGACTCACTTTTAGCAAATGTGTAACGCCAACGGACTGAACAATTACAGCCAGTTGCCGTTTATCTCAGAGGACCAGCTTGAAGACCGTGAGCAGACACATCGTACAGTAATTTATTCCTTCTCAATCTCCTACTGAGAGACCTTACATGTGCTACAGACGGCGTTTAATATTGGTGACAGAATATGGATTTATTATTATTCCTCCTGTTCTAAATTTACATACTGACATTTATGTTTGAAGGTATTGGTGTGCCATTTCTCCTAAACTGAAACAGTTTGCAGTAATGTCTAGAATTAGTATTTGGAAAAATACTGAAGCTGAGCAGGTTTAATTTACTGTGATGGACTGTCGACCTTTTCAGTTTATTATATAGCATTTCACCCAAAGACAGCTTGAATATGCTCTGGCCTGGTGAATAGAGTTTTCTGTGTTATTCTGTTTTGGTAAGAGGATACCAGAATCTTCAATGAAACGGTTACCCAAGAAAATAAATGAAACCTTACTAAATGTATAAACACAAACCAACAAAAAGGAGAGGGAGTCCAAGTAGTTTGAGGTTGTTTGAGGGACCTTCACAGTGACATTGATTCTAAACTGAAACAACTTGGCCGGCTTCATTAAAAAAGGCATTTAAAAGAACTACATTCAAAATTAAAGACATAAAGACGTATTTGTGAGTTTATTGAAAATGATAGAGCTTTAGGTAAATCCCCTGCTTTATCCGTAAGCTCTCATTACGAAATATTTGAAGGTTCAAAATCATATAAGTACAGCTGCATCCATGAACTTTTTGCTGTAGCGTCTGCTGTTTCATCCAGCTCCGTGTTTTTGGTAATAAACGTGCCTCAACACCTCTTGAGTGAGAAACATCCTCCAAAGCACATAAATGCAGAAACTCATCTGATGGTGGAGTCACAGATCAGCCTGGCTGCTCCGTCTTCCCATAAGATGACTCAACACTCACATCCAATCACTGTCGCGCCGTCAAATAAAATTGACATGACAGCACATCCGACGGAGATCAAAAGTACATCCCGCTGTGCCGGACTGAAGGCCTGTCCGAGACCACCGGTTCACAGATTTGGATCGCTTTGAGGGACTTGTCAAAGAAAAAGTCGAAACTACGACACACAAAATGAAAGCAAGCTTTGCAGGCTCGGTGAATATGGATGTTAACCAAAAATAGCCATCTCAGACTGAGATTTATCATTTGGCAGTTAATTAATGAGCATTTGTATTCAGTATTAAATGAAACCCCAGTCGATGTGTTAGAGGGATAAGATGTGTGGTTATTACACAGCATACCGTCTGAGGAAGAGTGTGTTCCACCTTGAGCAGGGAGCAGTGATGAATCAGAAGCAGCGGCGTAGTGAGTGAGTCATCCAAACAAAGCAGTCGCATCATTTAGATGCACCTCATCAACAAGCTGAGATGGAAATAAGCGGCTAGTATTTTGACCGAAATTTGCTGTCCCGTGCTGCCCGGCTGAGGCCGGGCTCACACAGTTTGTGCAGTCCTTAACATTTCACCTTACCTTTGTTATGTGACTCAGCATACCAGGTTTTTGCCAAGGAACACCACATACACACCACAGATATCAGACTAGAGTTTGAAACACTTATATAAAGCTTCAGGGAGTTGGTACAAGGATTCTGTATATTTTCTCCAACTGGTAGTTCACTTCAGTCCAAGTCCAAACAGAACACATTTCTGTGCTTGGAGTGCCATCTTGTGGCATTGAATAGTATCAAAGTTATCTCAAAGGTTTTTTAAAAATCTAGATTACATCAAAGGAATCGGTTTTTGTTGAAGGAAAAACAAAATGAGGAAAGAAATTAGCCAACTTTATTCATCTAACCTGTCCACCTATATACTGAGATCGAGTTTAAAGACATCTAACACTTCCTTTGCTGTGCAACATGAAATGGTCAGCATAAGGAAGTAAATTTGACATTTGCCCTAAATCATGAAGTCATATCTGTCTATCTGAGTGAGCCAGAGAACAGTTTCAGTTCTACAGAAAACAGAAACACACTGTCCAAATAATCGACCCAGATCCCTCAATATCATGCAATGCCAACTATTAGATACTTATAGTGAAAACATTTTTCTCTAAAACATCAACCTTATTTAAATAGTCATTGACCGCATCCTAAAAGTTTAAGGAAAACATCTTAATGTTTTTTCAACATATTGTAAAATCCCTAACCATGAACAAGTCATGTGGCTATTTCAACAACACAACCACGGGGAGCAAAGCAAAACACTGAGGCTTAGACAAAAGAGAGCATCATTAATAATAATTTGGTCTGTCATTGGCGTTTGTTTGACAAAGGAGGATTCAAAATGAATCACCAAAGCTACAAGTTATCCTCCAGAAGCCTGCATGAGGAGGGAAGCTAAAAGTTGGAAAGAGACAATTGCATCAAAGTTTAGCAACAAATTGAAATACACATTTTTCCAATTCCTATCAGGAACATAGATGAAGGTCGTGAAGTTATTAAGAAATGTAACAGAAGTCCTGTTAACTGCTGTGAAATGTTGATGAGTCAGCTGAAGAACACACTTATATGACAGATGCCTGATGAAGGGATTCCTTCCTGTAAATTACATGAATTGTGACTTGTCCTTACTCAAGCAAAATCGTAATATTTGGATTAATGTTAATTAAAAGTCAGGTTGAACCAATAGATTTTTAGCCAGACTTTAAAAGATCCAGTGCCTTGTGTTTGTCCCACTTCCTCTGACAGTTTTTTCCAGCAGCCTCAGTCACAATGAATGACCACATATCTTCATTTTGCTGTGTAGAATATCTAATAACTTAATTATTGGAGTTTTCAATAGTTTCCTAACGCATTGTCTCAGCATTAATTCCTGCATTGCCTTCGAAGTTCCAGCAAAGGATGACACTTTAATCTTCCTGTTCTCCAATTTGTGCATCCCTTTCTTCTTAGACATCTTTCCTCAACTTGTCAGTTTTTGGGGTCATAACCGGAGAATAAGGTGCATTGGTTGGGTTTTTAAAAGATCACTTGAATACTCCCAAACATGACAAGAAATCAGATTTTCTATTTGTTTAATCTGGTAAAAAATCAAAGGAGCCATAACACATCATTTCGGTGTTTAAGGGGATCAAGTTATCAATTTTGAAATGATAGAATATACTTAGATAGAGCAGATACATCATTGCTGTACATTTTAATGTCGATTTTTATTAACAAAATACACAAAAACATGAGTGCAGCCATAGAATGACTGATTAACGTTTATGTGGCTGAGTTAAAGTATTGAATGGGAATATGAATATTGATTTACGTCTTTTTTTTTCTACAAGAATATCCAAATGTTGAACGAGGATCTTAATTGTTTGAACTTGTAAAAGTTACCTGTCCGTCTTAGAACGCGCTCCATTAGCGCTCAATATATGTATTAGGGTCACATTATGTTGGGCGGAGCTTTGGCTTCCGCTTGAAGTGTTACTGAACCCCCTCTCCTTTGGGGTCAGGGGCCCCCTTCAGGTCTTTGAAGGCGTCTTGAGATAAAAACACGAATATTATTTGAAGGTTGGAACGGTTTAGAGCCACAGCCAGCGAAAGTTCACCCCTCGTTTAAGCTACTCGTGTTGCTCCTCGCTGCTTTCGGGGAGTGGAGGGCTGAATGGTGAGCTGAGCCGGAGAAGAAGAAGAAGAAGAAAAAGATCTGTTCCCCCCTCAGTGTGTGACCGCCCACAGTACGGGGGTGGGGTGGGGTGGGGGGGGGGTTGAAAGTGCTGCTTTGTGAATGACGGGAGCGGCGGAGGACAAAAACCAAACTTTACTCATCATATTTCAAGCTGGTGACGCTTTTACGTCAAGCTGAAAAGCTCGGACAGCCCAACAGGCGATACCTGACCCACAGACACCGACAGAACAAGGTAAGTTGCGACGCCTGTATTTTTTGGGAGAGAGGGGGGGGCTTGCGTTTAGTGTTAGGAAGCAGATTGACAGCCTTTTTTTTTTTCGACGGGAGGATGCAGGCATAGCAGCCGAGCCGTGACTGGAATAATTGTCGAAGATTGGGGATCATTTCGGAGCAGAATTTAAACTGCA